AAAAAAAATGTGCATCTTGCCAGAAACTATTACCTTCTTGTTTTCGACGGAATGCTAAAGTTGCAAACATTGAAAAAAAAGAAGGGCCTTCTCCCGTTAAAGATGATGCACTAACGAAAACAAATAACAGTTACTTTTCGTTACTCGACAAACCAGAAGTTATAGCTACGGACAAAACAGACGAGAAACCGAAGCCAAAATGCGACTTTTGCGACAGATGCGAAACATGCCAAGCTGATTTCGATAAAGATAAAGCGAAAGGCAAAAATAAAAAAGACATTGAAGCTAGATGCAGTGCCTTAAATTATTTTGTCTTTGTTATTTTAGTATTGTTTATGGTTATTTCTGAATTATCAGTATGGGTCTTAATGGCAAATAATTGACTTTAACTTTTTTTTCCTTGACTATAATATTTTTCTCAATTATTATTAAAATAAAAAACAAAATAATTTCACACTATAAGAATAATAAAATGTGTTTTGATTATTGCTTGAGTGAGAATGAGAAAATCAAACAGTAAAAAGTTGAACATGAACAACTTTCAGAAAATTGCTTACGTTCTGTTGTTTTCATTTTGATTTCTTTTGCTTCGATTTATCGTTCATTGTTAAATATTCTCACCTTCAGGCTTCTAATTGAATCAGAGTCAAATACAAAATTACAATAGTATCTATTGATCTTTCTAATCTTCTATACTTATATCAAGACGAAATCATTCACCTTCTTCAAAAAAATGTTTATTTTGTTTTCTTTTAGTCTTTCATTCCGCCCTCTTAACTTCTGTTCACCAGGATAGATCTTAGTAGACCGCTATTTTTTGGTCGATGATCCCCTTCAAAAATTACACCATTCGATGCAGAATCAAATTCTGCATCCAGCACAACCAACTAGAAATTCAGCATGCATTTAGGAGCGAATGTCAGCAACGAAAATTAGAATCCGCTGCTAACTTTCATTAAGTGAAATAACTGATAAAAACATATTAATGTGTCGATTATGTTTCTTCATGAGTCGATATAAGCGTGTTGACGCATTTTTTTGTGCTTGAATAGCAAGAGGAAAAAAAGAGAAATTGAAAAACAAAATCAATGAAGCGATCCAAATCAAATGATTTTATATTATGACTGCGCACATAGGTGTGTTATAATACGTATCATTTGATGCATTACTGACAAGAAAACATGAGCGACGAACAACCATTATTAAACAAATCAAAACATTTTTCTTTTCATTATGATGATAATGCTAAAAGTACTAAAAATCTAGCAAGTGATACGTATGATTTAATAATTTACTAACCTTGAAAAACAGATATGAAATAAAATTTTTTATTTTTTTATAGTCTTTATGATTGGCAACGATGTTTTCGTGGTCCGAAGAGTGTCGACGAGGATTATAAGAAATTAGACAATGAAGATGAAGATGGAACATTTCATCGCAAGGAGACATCAGTTAATATTTTAGAATTAGTAAGTATATATAAAATGAAATACATACTTTGCCCTTAAAATATAATTTATTTGATTTTATTCTAGTTTCGATTTGCGGATGGGATCGATTATATTCTCATGACTATCTGTGTGATTCTTATACTTATACACACATCATGCTTTCTAGTAACTCTGGTCCTTTTTGGTCGAGTTACTGGGATGTTTGCTACTCATTCATTTACTGTTAGTTGCGAACAACAATATATAGATACACTTGGATTTAATCAAAACCAAAGTGGATGTCCTTTAGGTATCACTCTCAATTCTCAGAATTATGATCGGTTTTTTAAGTAATAAATTAATACCTGGTATTTATTGTTATGTATCTTCCTATATTAGATTGTGTCATCCGCAATCAACCACAAGTCTAACACCAATAATTGCTCTATCAGATCCTGAATTTCGAGCAAATGTTATGCATATTATTAAGATATTATTTCGTAAGTCAAACCAATTTCTTAGATTTAATTAAAATATAATCATGAAATTCATATCGTTTTTATTTTCTATATAAATATAGTTGTCGGTATTATTGCATTTCTATGTAGTTCAGTTGAAAATTTTATATGGACGATTTCTGTTAAGCGACAAACATCTCGTATGAGTGTTTTACTTTTTCGATCACTTATTCAACGTGTAAGTTATACATATGTATATTGTTTCATTTATTCACTAGGTAGCTTTTTTTCAGAATGTGAGCTATTTGGATATGAATCCAGCTAGTCAATTTAATTCAAAATTATTTGCGTAAGCCATTGCTATTTATATCATATCGAGTTATTTTATATAATAAAAAAATTTCTTATATAGTAATATTGATAAGATCGAAATGGGTATTAGTTTTGAATTTTTGGCATTAGCTGCAATTGTATTTGTTATGATTGGTAGTGTCATCACATCTTTTATAGTTAACTGGAAATTAACTCTGATTTTATTTTGTCTTAATCCATTTGTTGTTTGCGCCTCATTAATATTTTCTAGGGTATGAATTATGATATAATTGTTATAATTTTTCTAAGTTATTATTATAGCTTATGGCTAGTGAAGCAATCAATGAATTAAGAACATATTCAAAAGCTGGACAAATCGTTCAAGAAGTGTTTAGTTCATTACGAACGGTTCATTCACTCAATGGAAGTAAATTTGAACAAAAACGGTACGTGTATATATATATATGGAACTTATTTATAAATTTGCTATTGTATTTAGATACGAAAAAGAATTGAGTCCAACTCGTTGGAGTAATATACGCAAAGGTGCTTTGTTTGGTGTATTTGTTGGTTGGTTATCTCTTGTGAATTATATAGTTTATGCAGTTGGTTTCATTTTTGGTTCTCTACTTATGTCTTATGGTGGATATAACCATAATATATCTATTAGTGATATTCTTGTTGTAAGTAATTTTGAAAAATGAATGAGGATTTTATTTTTTATTTATTTTTAGTGTGTTTCTATATCTGCACAATGTATAAGTTTTTTTAGCAAGACTGGCCCATTTTTCCAATCAGTTTCAGAAGCTCAAGGTGCAGCTGGACCTGTATTTCGACTTATTGATGAGGTAGATTTGAGTAATGACAAGTTTCAACTTAAACACTAAGGATTTTTATGTTACAGGAACAAGATCCACAAATAAATGAATTAGATCTAATGAAAGATACTTCATTAACTCCAGATTCGACTATAATTGGTGAT